AACTGGGACTTTAGCGGGGTTCAAGAAAGAGCTAAATACATTCATGGAGGTTGAGTACATCAATGGCTAATAACCAGAATGGGTAGGAATGGTGCCCCTAGCCTCTGTCAGAGGCTGGGAATCGGTGTTGGGGGAAGAATTGCTTAAAGATTCCTTCTTCTGTTTACTCCCTTGGGCTGTGTCTACATTGGCACCCTTTTCCGGAAAAGGGATGCTAATGAGACAAGTCGGAATCGCAAATGCCGCGGGGGATTTAAATATCCCCCGCGGCATTTGCATGAACATGGCTGCTGCTTTTTTTCGGCTCGGGGCTTTGCCGGAGAAAAGCGCCAGTCTAGACGGGATCTTTCGGAAAATAAAGCCTTTTCCGGAAGATCCCTTATTCCTCTTAAATCAGGAATAAGGGATCTTCCGGAAAAGGCATTATTTTCCGAAAGATCCCGTCTAGACTGGCGCTTTTCTCCGGCAAGTCCCCGAGCCGGAAAAAAGCAGCAGCCATGTTCATGCAAATGCCGCGGGGGATATTTAAATCCCCCGCGGCATTTGCAATTCCGACTTGTCTCACTAGCATCCCTTTTCCGGAAAAGGGTGCCAATGTAAACACAGCCTTGGGGTATCTGGCATTGGCCACTGTCGGTAGACAGGATACTGGGCAAAATGGATATTTGGTCTGACCCAGGATGGCCATTCTTATGTAATATCTCCAGTGATGGAGATTCCACAACCTCCATAGGCAATTTATTCCAGTGTTTAATCACGCTGACATTTAGGTAACTTTTTTCCCCAATGTCCAACCTAATGTCCAACCCTTGTTGCAATTTAAGCCCATTGTTCCTTGTTCTGTAATCAGAGGTTAAACAAAATATTTTTTCTCCCTCCTCCTTGTAACAACCTTTCAGTTACTTTGTAGCAGTTATCAAGTCCTCTCTCAGTCTTCTCTTTTCCAGTTTAAACAAACCAGTTCTTTCACTCTCTCCTCATAGGTCATGTTCTCTTAATCTTTTTAATCGTTTTGTTGCTCTTCTCTGAATTTTCTCAATTTTCTCTGTGTTTCCTGAAATGGGCTCACAGGAATGGACACAATATTCCAATGAGGCCTAATCAGTGCAGAGTAGAGTGGAAAAATTACTTCTATTGTCCTGCTTACAACACTCCTGTTAATATACTCCAGAATGATATTTGCTTTTTTTTTTTACAATGGTGTCACACTGTTGAGTAATATTTAGCTTACATGAACTCTCATTAAAATAAACATAAATGAGGAAAGCTCTGAAAAGTATGGTGTGCATTATATTATATTATTATCTTCAATGGTTTGTCATCAAGTCTCTAATCTTGCAGTTAGAATGGGCACCGGTGTGCAGCTGAATTGGAGTCAGCAGAGGTCCATGCCACCCAGGGTTGTGATCTTGTAGATCCCTTTGTAAGCTTGGGGCCTGACCCAAAGCCCATTAAAATCACTGGAAGTTCAAAATGTATGCACATCACTTCACTTCCATACTCGCTCACTTCAGAAACTTCCTAAATTTCAGATATAATTATTTGCCGAAAATTAAGCACACCCTTTAGTGTTTTCCTGAAATGGAGCCTTAGGCTATAAAATGGCAGACATCTATCTTCTGTGCAATTTATGGGCACCTGTAAGTGCACTGTAAAATAAAACATGAACATAATTCAAAATTAGGTCAGATTTTATAGCTAAGCAAGTTTTGAGCATTTAATGCAATTTTCATTATATTCATACTATTTTTGAGAAAAGGTCTGTAGTTTTGTACTCATACTAGAGGTTTCAAGATTTATTTTTTATTATGAGAAATAGTTAAGAAATATAAATACTTTAAAATGGTACTATTTAATTTATTATCCCAGGTTACATGCATAAGAATGTTTTAATGTATAAGGAATGTACAATTCATGTGAAAAAAATTCAATTGAATAGTAAAGACAGATAATGTGAGTTGAAGGTATGCTTTATGTTTGGATGTATAGACTGATCATGTTAGTAATGTGGCTTATTGCAGATGATGGGTGAGAGATGAAAATAATTTCATTTCTATTATTATTTTAATTTCTAACATGTACTCCAAAGACAATATTAAATAAAGCATGCATTACAAATGTTAAATAATCACTGTATTTTCCCATTTCAGTAATTATATATTCATGGATAGGGCATTTGTATTCTGTAACCATAATATCATGACTGATAAATTAAGTAATGGATACTCTGAAAAGGTTCTATCATCTATTCTGCCAGCGGGAGGGAAGGAATTTGTATGTGATGGAGCACCAGTGAAAGTTGATTAATTTATTCTCCATGTACACAAATAAATCCATACTCTTGTGAAAAAAGCGGTTCCATTTAAAAAGGTATGGCCAGTAAGTAGAGGAAGATGAGTAAGGAGGATGTGTGTGAGTATGTGAATGTGTAGGGAGGGGAGAGAAATTCACATTCTACAGATGAATACACATTGGTTCATGAAATGTCTTGTTATGCATCAACCATTAATGAAATACAAAATACTGGGGAGTTGCTAAAATCCATGTGCACCTCTTTCAATGATCTGCTGCTAGAACCTAAGCCATTGAGGCCAAATTATAATTGATTTATTTGTACCTTTTTCCAATCTCCAAAAGCTATCCTTTTGGAGGTCAAACTTCAAATACAAAATTGCAGCAGCTCATCCATATTTCATGTTTTGTGACCCCCTTCAACTTCCTTAGATATAGGTGTGAAAACTTATTAACTGTATTATCAGGTTGCCTTGACACAAGACCTCTATCCCGTACTACACTTGGAAATTCAACGTTTCACCTAGTTTAGAACACTAGTTCAGCTTGTAATTTCAATTTTACCCATAGCAATTGATTCGGTTACTGTAATATTTTAATCTAAAACATTCCAAAAGCTATCTCTGAAGAGTAAGAAAGGGAGATTTTTGGCTGTATGTATGATGAGAAACTAAATGATGTTAGCATCTGTGGTGTGTATGCATGGTGAGGAGAAGGAATAGTGTTACCATCAATAGCAACTGGGGAAAAACAATTGTAGGAAAGGTTAAAGGTTAGGGTGAATGGACAAATGTTGCAGGGAATGAATGAAGCGTAAAAATTAAACGTATTTTGCAATAATAAAAATATATTTAGTGTGGTTAAAAGTGGACAATAAGAGCTAAAGGTTAGTTGCAATCATAATAGTGGTTGATGGATTAAATGTTTTAAAAAATGTTGCATTCTGTTTAGATTATAAACTCGCTAGGGCATAGGACATGCATTCACTCTGTGCCTACATTTGGACGCCAGATGAAGAACAGCAAACACAGAGCTTCAGATTTTCAAAGAAGCATTCCCCTCGACTCAGCATTAACAAAATGTCATACAATTTCTTTCATGATATCAAGTGACTAACAGAGTTTTAAAACCATTCACTGAATCTGGATGCATACAGAGATCAAGGGCTATATTCTGGCTTTTAGTATACAGGTTGAAACTCTCTGGTCCAGAACTCTCTGTTCTGGCTACATGTTCCCAGATCAGAGAGTCCCTGAACCAAAGACCAGCAGGGCCAGCTGTAAGTTCGGTGGTGGAGGCCCCGAGCCTGGCCTGTAGCCGGGAGCAGAACTAGGGCCCAGCCAAGGGCCAGGAGTGGAGACAGTCTTTCAGCCAGGGGGGATCAGGGGGGATCAGCAGCCTAGAGCCCGGGGAGTGAGGTCTGTGGCCATGAGGGGAGTGTGGCGGAGAGGCTGGCAGCCCCTGGGAAGAGCCTGGAGGCCGGCAGCCAAGGAGCTGGAATTGGCCATCCCTGATCGAGCAAACTCCCTCTTTTGGGACTGACCAGGTCTCGAGGTTGCTGAACCAAGGAGGTCCAACCTGTATATATAATTTCCCAAGATGTCCAATAAATCTTCTGTGGAACCAAAGTTTATTGGCCACACACTATTGCTGAAGTCTTCATGCTATGTGATTCTATTGTATATAGGATTATGCAGCAAACTAATTATTTGAATAGAGATTAGATATGTCCATGAATATTCCCTCGTATCTACTCTACAGTACGCAAAGCATAGTAAAGGATTGTTATGTCTTATGTACAATACATATATTCTACAATATTCTGCCACAAAGAGGCAGCCTCTACTAGTGCATACTATATAGCAGCTGTTTGGTTTGAACTGTAAATAGAAATGCTTTAAACACATTTTTTTATGCTGATTCTCAGAGAGTTGTCACTTCTGATATCCAAAGATACAGGACTACCAAACCTCTTGCTACTTTCTACAAAGAACACTATGGTAAATATAAGCACTGTCTGCATGTTTTTTTTCACAATTTGTACTTCATATCCAACTTGAAAAATTCTCCTAAAAGAAGATACCAGTAATGTTATTCTCAACACAGACATCATGGCTCATTGTCTGGTCTCTGCAGACAATTTAATTTCCTGATACATTATGAAACAGTAAAAACCAAAGACTAATCTTTACAGAACAGTTGTATGTTTTAAGCTTGTAGGTGACTATGTCAGCACTTTGTGGTTCTGAACTAATGACTAAATAGATAACATGAGGACACAGAATTCTCTCCTCACCCTGGCTACGCTGAATGAATTGTATATCTCAAACCCCAGAGCCCACTGTTGTTTTATCACTAAACTACATAGCATCCCAGATTTGACCAATTTTGAATTTATTATTATTTGTTATTTTGCTAACTTCCAGTGTTAGAACAATGCATTTTTGTTAAAAAAAAAGTAAAAGTAACACCCATATTTTCACTATGTACTGACACAAAGATACATTGCATGGATTATCATGATCTTATCTAAGAGGATTATAGGATAAATGAATAAAAATCCACTCCAGTGAAATGAATTTGGTTTTAAGAGAAGGCAAAATTGCTTACTACACTAATTTCTTACACTGGTAGAAGAAAGGCAAATGTGAAAAGTTACCTATAGCAAGGTGGAAACCCCTTCCCAATATTCATGTAAAACTACTTACTGTTCACAAGACAGACTCTATGATCACCACGTTTCTTTGTTCAGGGTTCCAGGTTTCTGTAAAAAAACATGAATTTAATATCTCATATGCATAAAACTTACCAGGACATTTACTTCATGTCACAAGTTTGCTTTTTTTAAGTTACTCTTGGAGCATATACAAGTTATGTCTACATCACAAATGCAGATGTCACCAACTCAGGTAGTTCAAATATAACTAGCATGGGTACTAATTTCTCCATCTTTAACAACAGCAATGAAGATGAGGTAGTACAGATCCTTATATGGGCCAGCAACCCAAAAACATAGAGAACCCCTAGTGGATTTGTAGTGAGGCAATTAGCCTGTATTACCACATCTTTTCTATCACTGTTATCTAAGACAGCTAAATGAAATCAACCACAAATATTCCTACCCATGCTATCTTCACAGCTTCATTTACAGTGTAGACATACCCTAAGATTAACAGCCCAGGTTTCCCATGGAAGGGGACAGAATGGATGGAACATTGTCAAGGTTCCCTTTCCAAAGTTTCCTTTGAATCCAGTCATTTCTAAATCTCGTGTCCTGCAAAAGAAATAACGCGTTTGGCCTCCAAAGTGCATGGATTATCCAGAATCTTCTGAAATCTGGGCCTCTAAGGCACTCACTCCTATGGCTCTTCGTAACACGTATGCTTTCAGGCCTTCCTCTGCGGGTAATACCACATGGAATCCTCAATTTAAAATTCACATTCTGGTTGTAGTAACTCTTGAACAAGTTCCCCATGAAAGTGAAGAGGCAGGGAAGAAATACTGAGTGTCTCTAGCTACTATCACAGTAGCTGCCCCTGCTAGAGGAAGAGTGGAGAAAATTCTGTAGGAGTGCTTCATTCCTCATGCCACTTTAGCATGCAATCAGTAGTACAATAAGCAGTGCTCACAGCATACGAGCTACCTGACCATTGCCATGTGCCAGGCTACGTTTAGATTGGCATGATTTTCCGCAAATGCTTTTAACAGAAAAGTTTTTCCGTTAAAAGCATTTGTGGAAAAGAGCATCTAGATTGGCATGGATGCTTTTCCGCAAAAGCACTTTTTGTGGAAAAGCATCCGTGCCAATCTAGACGAGGTTTTGTGCAAGAAAGCCCTGATCGCCATTTTCGCCATCGGGGCTTTTTTTGCGCAAAACAGTTTTCAGCTGTCTACACTGGCCCTTTTGTGCAAAAGCATTTCTGGAAAAGGGCTTTTGCCCGAATGGGAACGTCAAAGCATTTGCGCAAGAAGCACTTATTTCGGACAGTAGAATGTCAGTGCTTTTGTGCAAAATCAAGCAGCCATTGTAGACAGCTGGCAAGTTTTTCCGCAAAAGCGGCCGCTTGCCAGTCTAGATGCAGCCTGAGTGTTTTAGAGGCATTGCAGTAGAGATGAGTTTTAGGGCTGGATTTGGAGGAGTGTAACAGTGACTTCACAGTTTCTTACAAGGACCAATTCCCAGGCATAAAGGCAGCAAGGAGAAAATGGGAAAATGTTTAAGGGAAAATTGGACAGCTGGGCAGAGGCAAGCATCATTAGCAGACCTTGATGGTTACTAGGATAATAAGAGATGAAATGGAATCATAGAATAATAGGGTTGGAAGAGACCTCAGGAGGGGAAGACCAAGCTTTGAAGGAACTTAAAAATGAAGATGAGCCAATTGTTTTATGCAGCGGACACCAGAAAGCCAGGTGCAGGGTTACCAGAAAAGTTACTGTTACTGCTCTTTTACATCAACCTTTCCACAGAAGAGTGGTACTGGCAATACCTAGGGCAGGACTTTTTGAAAACCTTTAAACCATATCATATCAATCCTTAGCATATTTTTAAAACAGACAATTTGTGATTCCTCCACCATCCCACTCCAAATGAGGTAATGCTGCAAACATGAGACAATTAGCAAGGGACTCAGTATGTAAATTATTCAAAATCTGCTTTCCCCTAATTTTATTAAAACATTAATTTTAGCTCCTGTGCTGTTCTTTCAGTCACTGTGATGCTCCAAGTAAGTATCCTTTCATATGTCACTGGTAGAGACACCTTTTGGACAATGGAGCTTGGTGGTTGACCTATTTACTCCATAACTTAGGAAAACAAACAAACAAAGAAGCAAACAAAATGAGGAGTCCCTCTGCACCTTAAAGACTAAGGGTATGTCTAGACTTGCACCCTCTTTCGAGACAGGGATGCAAATGAAGATATTCAAAATTGTAAATGAAGCCGGGATTTAAATAACCCAAGCTTCATTTGCATAATTGTATTATGGCACTATTTCGAAATACAAAACGCGATGTAGATGTGGTTATTTTGGGAGAACACCCTTCTTCCAAAATAACTGCTAAACCTCATTTTGTGAAGAATAAGGATTATTTTGGAAGAAGGGTGTTCTCCCGAAATAACCACATCTACACTGCGTTTTGTATTTCGAAATAGCTCTATTTTGAAATAGCGCCATAACGCGATTATGCAAATGAAGCACAGGATATTTAAATCCTGGCTTCATTTTCAATTTTGAATGTCTTCATTTGCATCCCTCTCTCCAAAGAGGGTGCAAGTGTAGACATACCCTAACAGATTTATTTGGACATAAGCTTCATTGGGTCAAAATCACTGTTAGATTTATGCATCTCCACAAAAACTTATGTCCAAACACATCTGTCAGTCTTGAGGGTGCCTTAGGACTCCTTGTTGTTTTTTACTTGCTGTGTTTTACAGATTAACATGGCTATCCCTCTGAGACTTAGGAAAAAAAAGTTATTTTGCAGCCTTTGGGGTAGAACATTAATTTTTAAACTTTCTCAAAACTATTTGCTCTTTCTCCTCCATCTATGTTGCTGGTATCTGTGACATGAGCAGGAGCAGCCCTAGATGAGCTGCTGGCAACTGGCGCCCTAGGCAAAACGTGCGATCAGCGTGCAATCGGCGCCCCCGCTTCCAAAGCCCTCAACGGCCATTTATCTTGGCACCCTAGGTGACCACCTAGTTTGCCTGTATTGATGGGCTATGAGTAAATGACCACTGGACATGAGTAAATGACCAAGAGTCACCAAATGAAATTAATAGGCAGAACCAAAGGAAGTTCTTCTTCACTCAGCGCACAGTCAGCCTGTGGAACTCCTTGCCAGAGAATGTAGTGAAGGCTAGAACTTTAACAGGGTTCAAAAAAGAGCTAGATAGATTCATGGAGATTAGGCCCATCAATGGCTATTAGCCAGGGTGGGTAGGAATGGGGTCCTTAGCCTCTGTTTCTCTGGAGATGGGTAACAGGAGAGGGATCGCATAAGGATTGCCTGTTATGATTCCTCCCTCTGGGGCATCTGGTATTGGCCATTGTTGGCAGACAGGATACTGGTCTAGATGCACCTTTGGTCTGACTCAGTATGGCTGTTCTTATATTCTTATGTTCTAAGAGTTCTGGAGAATGAAGTAATAGAAAATTGTCTGGCAGGATTATAGGAGAGCATTATTAAAAAAAAAAAAGTTAGGTTTAGAATAATCTAGCAGCACATAGCAGTGGGATTAACTATTTTTCTCCCCAGATTTTTCAATTCAGATATCAGTAATCTCAGGTATACAGATAGAACAATAACTTTGATCATCCTTAGGTATAGTATACTGTCATTGTTGGGCCTAATCCAAATTTTTGGTCTCTACTTCTTATCTCTACTGCAGGCTGAACCAAAACTCTAGATCAAACTTTAGTTCAAGCCCTCCAAAATTTGGAGATTTGAAAGTTAGGCCAAAATTTGAATTTTCCCAAATTGTAACATATTCACATTTGGCTTCTTACAAAAAGATGCTTCCACTACAAATTCTGATCCAATCTATTCCTGGGATTCAGATCAAGGATTTTGGTTTAGGTCCTTCTGTACATTTAGTATTAGAATAGATAGAACTACCAAGCCTCAGAGAACTTAACACATTTGCTTTGTTGTATACAGTCTCTGCCTTACTCTATTTATATAGACTGCCTGTGTCAAGCTATGTCACATGATCACAAAATGTCTCAGATGAAAATTATTTCTATATACCATAAAAGCCAGAGCACGCCAGAGAAAGTTACAAACATATAGATCCCTACTTGAGTATTAATCAAAAAGGACTGATGAAAAATACAGGGCCTGCTCCCCACAAGACAAAAACAAAAAGTGAAACAAAATTATGCAGCATCATGATCAAGTCAAGTGGTTTATTAAGTGACAAATAAAAAGAGCCTGTCTACTTCCTCGGCATTGCAGAGGGAGTTTCCCTCAAGGCAATAATGGTACACAGACTATGCTCTAGTTTGTGACATATTAGCCTGCAAGAAATGATTTAAAAAAAAAATCCTAGCATCAGCAATCAGATAGCTTTGCCTGGACTAAATACTGAAATTCTCAAGGTTACTATCACAGCTCAGAAATACCACAGAGATACAAAGGAAATAAAAATACATAATGTAAAATATAAAAAATGTCTCTACAATGGGAATTCTTCTGTGCCTCTGTTGCTTACTATTAAACAGAATATTTTTGATGAGATGTGCTGGAAGATTAATTTAGTCAGCTTTAGTTATAGGCTCCTGTGGGTCTTCCATGCGAAAGATCCCCTGTAGTGACAACTACATTTCCGAAACTACAGATGTAGCATCTGTCACATTACTTGTCTGTTGCATGATTTGGTTTCATTTCATTGGTATTTGAAAGGAAACAGTTTTCTAATGAAAGCTATTAGAAATACCAACAGAATAAAATACAGTTAGATATGCTTGGCTGCATTTTGCAATATATCTTTGCAGCGTAATCTATATTATACATTTGGTGTCTACAACAGATATTTTGAGGTACTAAGTAGACTTGTAAATAAACTATTTCTATTTCAATAAATAAATAAATAAATAATCAACTTCTATTTCATTTACTCGTGATCACTCATTGAACAAAATAGAAGTCCTTTTGGGTCTCATTTTAACACTTTTACCCCCAGTTACCCTATTATGGGAACAGTTCGATTAAGTAAAGGGATCAAAATTGGGCCCTTAAAATAAGCCTAGTCCAATATGT